AATGGTTCAACGGTGTTGTTGAATTTTGAGTTACTAGGGGTGGAATTGGAGAATATGTAAATTTGTTTGTGAATTTTCCTTTACTCGCCACGCTACGAATTTCTATGTCTTTCTACATTACGGGAAAACTAAGTTCAGCTGCCTTTGGTGTTTTGCAATGCTTCAGGGAGATCCGCAATCTCAAGATCCAGTTGTATATGATAATGGTGTGACCTACATGTTTATACAGCATAGCAATGTCTACCTCATGATAGCAGCTAGGCAAAACTGCAATGCCGCTAGCCTTCTTTTCTTCCTACATCGTATAGTTGATGTAAGCATTATTGGTAATTATGGTTCTAAACACGTTCAGATTTGAGAATTTATAGAAACGGTTACTAGATGCCATCAAATTATCCTTTTCTTTATGCCAGGTGTTTAAGCACTATTTTGAAGAATTGGAAGAGGAATCACTTAGGGATAACTTTGTTGTTGTGGTAAAATGCTTAGCGACCTTTTAATTTTTCTTTTAATTAATTACATTGATAAATGCAGTTCTATCCTTTACTTAGAAGCAGATGGATAATCACCGTAATTTTTACTCATTGGCAGTACGAACTCCTTGATGAAATTATGGACTTTGGCTACCCTCAGTATACCGAGGCAAAGATTCTAAGTGAATTTATCAAGACTGATGCTTACAGAATGGAAGTTACACAGAGGCCTCCCATGGCTGTAACTAACGCTGTGTCTTGGCGTAGTGAAGGCATAAATTATAAGAAAAATGAGGTGTCTATTATTTTCTTTTGAAAAGAAATCCCGTTTTGATTGGTACTATGATGGTCTTTGTTCACCAGTTGACATCTTCCCTTTTTCATTTTTCAGGTTTTCTTGGATGTGGTGGAGAGTGTTAATATACTTGTCAATAGCAATGGGCAAATAATCAGGTCTGATGTTGTTGGAGCACTGAAGATGAGAACATATTTGAGGTTTGTTTTCTACTTGTCCAGATCTGTTGAGTTTCAAGCTCCTGAGATAAACTGCTAGCAAACTAGGTTAGCAATTAGCTTTACAGGTTGATGATTCTCTTAGCTTTATGGTCAAGGAAGAATTTATAGAGGAAGAAGAATGATAAGGAATGATTGGATCTGGAATCCTCCTGAGATCAAAATAAAGAAAAGGAAAAATAAAAATAAAGGAAAGCTGCTAAACAGAGATCTCAAATTCCTTTGCATGTTTGCCTAGAGAAAGGGCCTTAACCATGAATATACAAGTCCATTTAAAAGGAAGGGAAACCATTCCATTCCGAGGAAGGCTCACAGTGAGAAACCTTTGGCTGAAATTTGAGCATTTTGATCTAGTGAAATGCACCATATGCCTCCTCTTTCCTCCCAAAATCTGAATAACAGGCAGAGAAGAAAATCTCGAGTGGGATATCTAATGTTCGGTGAAAATTTGAAATTGGCCCTGTAATTGCCTGGCAACCCTACAATGCAATGACGATTAGCAGTAACTCCTATAACAGATATAGCCCCTACTCCCCCAAAAACAGACCTGGGGGAGGGGGATGTAGCATAACTCCAGTACTTGGAGATAAATCATTGTGTTCAATCAAATGCACCAGCTGCAAATCATTATCAAAATTTGATGAAGGTGTGCAATATGAAATACTTTTTAATGTAAGAGGTTTGGTTAACCATCCTAAAAAAGTTCAAACTGCTGAAATGTGTGGAATATTCTCCATAGGTGACAGGTTTTGCAGTGTAACTTTTCTGGAGTCACTACTGAAATTTCAATATTTACTTTTTAGAGTAGGTTGGACTTGGTTGTATCTTTCCTAATAGTTTGTTTACATGGAGATTGTTCTAAAATTGTTATATGCATCAGCAGAACTAAAAAAATTGTTTCTTTCTTTGCAAATCTTATCTACGATTTTTCTGGATGCTGTGTGCTGATAACATGGTGTTTGTTTCTTCAAACTGATTGCTTCATCTAATCATGATGGTTTTGCAAGTTAGTACATGTTGCTAATCTCAGGTTTTTTGCTTTTGTCTTGGGCTTCTGTTGCTTTGTTGACATTTTTATCTATCTCATGTAGTTTTTATTGTGTCCAACGTTTTTCTTTTTCTTTTTGGATTAAGTGTTCAGTGTAATTTTGAGGTATGAAATTGCAATTGGCAGTTTGGAGCATGTTCTTGCATGCTTACTGATTGCACATGCTTACAGATTGCTATATTCAATTGGAACTACTAAGGTATTCTTTAGGATCTGGTGCCTAATAAACTGCAGAGAATATTTATGTTGAGAATGACGTGGATATGTTTACGGTGATATTTCCGTTAATCTATCCAACATCTTGCTAGAGAATATTTATGTGGAAACTCAGATGACATCTTTGGCTTATCCCATACAGTGGCATGCCTGAGTGTAAACTTGGACTAAATGATAGAGTATTATTAGAGGCACAAGGAAGGGCGACAAAGGGAAAGGCAATTGACTTGGAAGACATCAAATTTCATCAGTATGTATCCTAGAGTCTCTTGTCTATGAAAAGCAGTCTAGGTTGATTATTTATAACACAATATTAATATTCTTTCTACAATAAGGTGCCTCTAATCTTAATGCTTGTTCTAAAAAATTTATTGACATTTTGATGAAGGTGTGTTCGCTTGGCCCGATTTGAAAATGATCGAACGATTTCCTTCATACCACCAGATGGATCATTTGATTTGATGACATATAGGCTTAGCACACAGGTTCATCTTCTATAAATGAAATGTATTCTTTTCCATTGAGGGGTAATATTTGTTTGCACATAGATGCGTATGTGGTGTGGGGGACTAGAGATGGCTAAGGAGAGAGAGAAGGAATTTTAATTCTAAGCGTTGATTTTATCCCCTCGTTTCAGGTTAAGCCTTTAATTTGGGTGGAAGCTCAAGTTGAAAGGCATTCAAAAAGCCGGATTGAGATTATGGTAAAAGCTAGGAGTCAATTCAAGGAACGTAGGTACTGAGATTTCATTTCCCCCCTGTTCTTGCAAGGGAGATAGTATAGTTGCTCCTTTTTAATGTATGTACTGTGAGCTTTTTGCTCTAGATTCGAGATTAGCCTAAATTTTTTAATTTGTGAAATTTGATATGCAGCACTGCCACAAACGTTGAGATTGAGTTGCCTGTACCTGCTGATGCAACCAATCCAAATGTTCGAACATCAATGGGATCTGCATCATATGCCCCTGAAAAGGATGCATTAATCTGGAAAATAAGATCCTTTCCTGGAGGGAAGGTATTGTTGACTTGAAGTGGCATTTTATCCTTTATTTAAAATCTAATATTAATACCTTAATTCAATTGTGAATTATTGGATTTAAAATTTGTGTTCCATGCTTTCAGGAATACATGTTAAGGGCAGAGTTTCGTCTTCCCAGCATAACAGCTGAGGAAGCAACTCCCGAGAGAAAAGCTCCTATACGTGTGAAATTTGAAATACCATATTTTACTGTTTCTGGGATACAGGTATTTCTATATGGACACGAGTTTTCTTGCATTCATAATATTGCTGGTCCTTAATTTTTTGGTACTGGAAATAGTCTGTACATCCTTAAATTTTGCCCTGTTGTATCTGATCACATTTTGGAGGGTGCCTCAATTAAATATCAAACGTAGGGAGTCATTATGTTGAAATTCATAGATGTAGTCAATTAGAGAACCTTTCATTATTACTTGCCTGCTGGTTTGTGGTGTCAGAAACTTTTCTCACCTATCATTTTGATCGCTGCGGTATGCAGACTTGAGTGAAGTAGTGAACTATATAGATCTGATATTGTTCAGTCAGTTTCTCACAGGCGGGGCGAGGCTTTGTGAACTAAACAGTAGCACCTATGTGATACATTTCTGTTATCTGGGGAACAATTCATGACTTAACGTAGCAATGTTGAAAATGCAACTGAAACATTGACCGGCTAGATCAAGATTTGATGACTGCTTAAGTACTTGCAGGTAAGATATCTGAAGATCATTGAGAAGAGTGGTTATCAGGCCCTTCCGTGGGTGAGATACATTACGATGGCTGGAGAGTATGAACTGAGGCTTATTTGAGCTCTTTTATCCTGGCTGTTTATTCTGAAATCCACCAGATAATAATGACATATTCTATGATCAATGACTTGGGACTGGTGGATGAGGAGAGTAGTCTCGAGAAATTGATTGTTTGAGGCCCGGCTATAATGAAGAATTTATTTGACCTATCAGCTCTCTCTACAAGGTAGTTGTGTTTTGCCGGCATTTTGTAAGTTACTTAGCTGTCTAGAGAGTCCATGTCAAATGATGAATTCACAATTTGTTAGTCAACGCCTGAGCCCTTTGGGCCATGTCTGTACTGGATGATGAGAAAATGTTTTCCCCCTTCTGGTTTTTGTATTGACAGTTTGCTCTTCTTTTTCTATTGCCCCCATATGTAATTTGATTTCCGCCTGTAAGAATTTTTTGCTTTTGTATTAACAAGATTGAAATCTGCAACTTTATTAAAGCTCCAATTACCTCTCGAGACGAAGTGCTCCAAGTGAAAGATATGGGATTGCCAAGTTCTGTAGCATCTAGGCTACCATCAATGATAATAGTAAAATTGAAAACCTCAATATATGCTGAGATAGTGAATCCAGACGGTACAAAATTCCGGCTTCCACAAAATTTGTAATTAGTTATCGCTGTCAAGGCAAGACGTCCAAGAAATGGCATGTTTGTTTGATATTAACCAAAAGGCCGAGAACGGTATAAATGGAATGCTTGTTGATTTTAACGGTTGCTACGCAGAATACACGTAATAGTGTAATACTACTTTTTCTTTGGGCTGATGTTAATTACTATTTGGGTATTAACGAGACGTCTAGAATTCATCAACTGCGGACCCATCTCTGGTTTCCGTTGGCGGGAAATCATTCTCTTCTGCACACTACTGGATTTTTCTGGTACATGATCCTTCATCTCTAGACATTAGTGAGTTCGTATACATAACACTGAAGAAAGCACTGAAAAAGGGTTGGTAACTATTTTACTTCATCAAGATCAGACTACTGCTTGGGTCCCAAAAAGTTCGCACTAGCGTTCGTAGTTCTTACAAGCATCATCAAGGAACTCTACAATCGTAAGATTCCAGAATATGCACGACTCCTGAAGAAATAACTTCTTAAAAAAAAAAAAATAGAATTTTGCATGTTGTAACAAGCCATCCACTATTCCGGCCCGGAAAAAAAAAAAAAAAGACAATCTATCCACTATTAATAAGCGTTTGATATCTTCCTACAGGACTTGGTAGCAGCATAAAAGGCAGAAAAAAGAAAAAAGAAAAAGAGAACTCATTTACAAAGGTGAATATTGACTCATCCTGAAGGGCTGAAGGCAAAGAATGGCCTTTTTTTCTTTCATATTTCTCTTAAAATTGTTTAATCAAGGCACATATGCTAAGCTAATGATGAATTTCATTAGGAAGTGTCGGAAGCTTCTTCCTAAAAACGTGCTTTCTGCAACGTCCAAAAATGTCATCGTATATTAAATCAAACTGCACTCCAGCTCTCTCCCTATTAATAATGAATAGAATGTGATCACCTTCCACAAACTTGTAGTACCTGTTTCATCAAATATCATGATTCAATTCAGTTCCATTAAAGAATTTCCGATATGAAAATTGCATGGGTAGAAAGTGGTCGGTAACAAAATTTCCCTTTAACAAGTTCAAGACCTCCCTAGCACAAAATCATTGTTTCTTCAAATCTCATTAATCAACACTACTCTTAAACAGTTCTCGTGTTTTTTTTTTTTTATTTCACTTTACTTATTTTTCATGTTCAAATATCCACCTCCAATGCAGGGACATACTGTTCTAGTTTCATTAATATTTAGGATGCATCGAGTCCAGAATATTTTCAATTACATAATAAATACATACTGAAATGCCCAAAATAGTGGAAAACTGATGGTAAGTGCTATAATATGATAATCTGATTTCTCTTTAGCAAAGTCAACCTATAAAAAGACTACATGTTTGGTTCTATCAGTAAGTACTATTTGGATATTTGGACCCAAGAAAAAATAAGGCAGCATATCACATACCAGATCCCTGGCTGCAAGGGTTCACAATCTGAATCCTTTTCAACAAAATGGTTTCGGTGTTCAATTGGGAAGCGAGGATGGGTCATGGATATCGTGTTTAGCGCTCCATCATTGTCCTGCCAGTCCTCATCCCTGCAACACCAATTACAGGGTGTGCTTGATTGGTCAAGCTTAACTCTAGTTACAACCCAGCATTCTTCAAACAAAAGGTGAGACAATGTCTAATGCTTTGGATACCTGTATCCTTTGTAAGGGGGAGACACGTCCGAAGGATGTCGCCACTGGGACATCTGCAAAACTCTTATAAAAAGCAGTGGATGAATTCCAGTTATGCTTGAAGGAAGTGTGACACCTAGGATTTTCCTAGTACGCTTGGTAGCATAGCTGAAGTAGTACGTATTTGGAAACGTGTGTAGATGATAGTTGAGTTTTATAGATCCTTGAATTGTAAGATCAGGGAGGATCCAATCCCCTGAAGCAAATGGACCGGCATTTCCGAGAAGGCAATCAACAAGACCTGAAATGCCCGTCTTTCTCCATGACATGTTGAAGTGATCAAATCCAAAATTGTAATACGACTTCAGCATGGAAATGTCCAGCCAATCATAAATTATCGCTCCAATTCGGCAAATTTGTAGCAGACAAATAGGTTTCAATGTTCTCCCATCTTCTGGCCTAAAACAAGCTCAAATTCAAGATCACTAGTTTTAGTAATCACAGTTTGTTCAACGGAGAACACAATTCTAAAGATTAGCAACAGTACATAAACAATTTAAAAGTGACGTATATTATCACCATGCCAATGAAAAAACTCATAACATTCAATTGAACCAAGAAAGTATATGGTCTTTTTGAGTGCAGACTCCACTTTTGAGACTTCAGATCACATTTACCAGTTTGCTGCCAATGGCAGCATGACCTTTGATTCATCATATATGTACCAAAGGAACTTCTCAGTTCCAATTTATTATATTTATTCTATCACACTAATGTCAATAGAAACTGTCCCAATCACCCCATATCTAGTCAATAAGATAACATCAGTAATAGATTGTTATGAATGATATCATTCCCTCAATGTCAAGTGTAAGCTATAATTTCTACATCAGAAAAAGCAGGACTTCAAATATGCCACAAAATGATATCAATTAGCAGGTAGGTATCCTCCAAGTTGGATAAACAAGAATAAGTCTATAGATAGGAACTTACTGCATGCCATCTAAGTAGGTTCTTGTGGTGCCATTAAATGCTCCTGATAAGGCCGTTATGCTCAAAACCCAGTTCTCTGAAGTGACTTCATAACCCTTAAATGCCTGGAGACAGCATGTCAAATAATCTTCAACAACTCATTCTCCACACTACAGACAATCAGCATGACAGTGAACAACTTATTGGGACTAACCTTATCAGCGAGCATTTGTTGCAAGACACGAGCAACCTGTGCTCCAGCTGAGTGACCAACGAAGTGAATAGGATGATCCTCGTCCCACTCAGGATAGTGGCCTGCATCCAAGTTGTGAAGACATTGTTTTCATTCAACAAAACAAAAAAAAACAGACTAGAAGAACATGACAGAGTGCAGAGCAAGCCGATCCTCGAACCTTGTTCGTAGATTCGTCCAAATTGCGAGTGGCCATAAGTAATGCTGTGCTCTTCGCCGTAATCGACTTGCCCGCCTTTCAGATAGTAGAACAATTCGCGAGCCCTGAGACAAAACCCTTTTCAGAACTTTCCCAAACGAGCACAAAATCAAGAGCAATGCAACCTAAAAGGAAAATCCATTAACAAGAACCAGAAAAATAATGGAAGTTTCTACACCTCAATCACTCACCTATCGTGGATACTGGTTAAAGATCCCAAATCAGGGACGAGAACCCTTTCATCTTTCTTCTCTGCCCCGGCAAAATACGATAAAGCACCCAATCGCTGAGGATTAAAAATGGAATGAGATTCATCGAATTGGAGAGAACAAGTCAAATTCATCACAGAGACAGGGGGGAAACAGAAGTTTACTTACCCCTTTGCCAAACCCGAAAATTCCATGAAGTAACACAATAGGAGGCAGGTCATCGTTTTTCTCTTTTCGCATTTCCTCCTTGACCTCAATATTCACCTTAGACTTGTAAAAGTAATCACTAAGAGCTTGTGAGAGATCCCCAGCAACACCTGAACTGAAAATGTAAAACCCATAAAGCATATGGATGATAGAGCTCACAAACAGCTCCGCCAATTGCAGATAAGCTACCCATAATCTGATCATTTTGCAGAATCAATCCCCAGATGAAGAACCACGAACAAGTGTGCAAGCCAGAGCCTTCTTTGAACCCAGAAAGCAAAAAACCACAAAGAAGGCTCCTTCTTGCCGAAGGTAAGAAACGTTTCAAATCCTTCAGGGGCTCGGGCTAATAGATTGCCCCTTTTGTATTGTGGAAGCTTAAAATGTTACCAATACCACATAAGGGGAATCAACCAGAAGATCTCTTGCGGGTCGGAAATGGCTTTTATAGTCGTTTTACGCTTCAAAATTCAAACTTTGAAAATGGTTATTTCGCTTTTGGCCAAAAAAAATTTTTGGTTAATTCGCACATTTTTATTGTTTGCCTGCCTCATGGAAAACGGACCACCAATCAAAATTCAGAAGGATTGTTTATTCGTCTTAGCTGTCCATCGAGGGAGCAACAAGCTTTATTAAATTTAATAAGAAAAAAATACAGTGGAAAAAGAAAATTCTTGCTTTGGGTTATGACGCGTGTCAAATCATTGCCTCTGATACAATCGTGATGCTTGTAGCCTGTAGACCGCACACCACTGCTGAAGAAAACAATGTGAATATGTAGAAAAATTTTGCAAATAATCGCCTCCGATTCGTAGAAAGGGCAAAGAAGACCGATTGAGATACGAATACGATTCCAGAGGCTTCTTCATGGATGATGCGTGCAGCGTGCAGCAGATCTGGCAGGTTCTCTTCTCAAAAGGCCCACGCTCAGCTGTAGTTTGTTTGGTTAAAATATAATTTTGTACTTCAATTAAAAAAATTACATTTTTTAGTTCTTTTTGTACACGTGCTGCTAGGAATTGACAACACATGAGGGTGCAGTGATGGACCCAGAAAAAGTTACTAATAGAGGTAACATTTATACCAAACATAAATATTAATAATTTTTTTAAAATATAATTATAAATATTAACTAAATAAATATGCAAATAAATTATATGAAAATTCAAAAATATGTATTAATTTCATTTCCGTCACAAATTTATTTTTATAATAAATAAAAGATAAACAATATTTTTTAATAAACTGAAACATACTTTTAATCCATTAATTATATACAATGATTCATTTTAGTCTTTCCATTTTATAAAATATTTTTTAGTCATTTAATCATAATACTGATAGTTTTAAATAATTATTTTTTGAATCAATTATTATTATTTTAAAAAATAAATATAATATGTCAACATTTGATAGTATTTTGTCAATATTTAAAAGTTTAATAAAAAAATTTTTGTTGACAAAACTAACAATGTTAAAATTAAATAGTCAAAGAATTTTATAAAATTAAGGGGTTAAATTAAAATAAAACTTATGTAAAATTAAAGGACTAAAAATATTAAAAAAGTATTAAAAATAAATTCTAATCTTTTAAATATGAATGTTTGATTAACTTTAAAGAGAATGTAAGGTCATTATTTTTTTTTGTGGGGGACAATTGCAATTTTTAAGAGAAGGCAAGAGTAATTTTAATATGAAGATAAGTGAATTTTTTATTTATTTAACGGGAGCAATTGTGAGGATGTGACATCATTTTCTATCGCCAAAACTTGCCTCAATAATGAGATATTAGCAACTGAATCATTGTATTCAAGTTCAAATGTCATCACCATTAACCATTAAGTCTAGTAAGAAAAGTAAATCCATATGATGAATCAACATTTAAATTTCTACTAAAAAAATATACATATTTAGTGTTAACCTGTGCTTTGAATATGGTTGTTTTTGATAATATGATATATACACACACAAGCACAATAACAAAAATGTTGATATCACTATCATCACATGGTCATATGTTCTAATAATTCTAATAATATATTAATTCTGATAATATGACACACACACACACACTAAATATAAACACTTTTTTTAATAAGAATTTAAATTTTAAACCTTATTTAATACGAGGGATGGATTTTAAGAGATTGAAAATGAGATTGAGAGTGGAAATAAGTTTTAAAAGTCATATTTGATAGTAGATGAAAATGTTTAAATAATTTTTCATTTAATATATATATATATATATAATTAAAAAGACTGCAATACCCTTGTCAGGAAAAAAACTACTCATCCTTTCTTGGAAAAAAAAATTCCTTCCTCCATTGGCTTTGAATTTGGGATGGAGCCTCTTCTTGGGGGCAAAAAAAAAAAATCTCTTTCATCCCTCAGCTAGTTTCAAGTCTGTGATGGAGCCTCTTCTATTTTTTTAAAAAAAAAAAAAGTCTCCTTCATCCCTTAGCTAACTTTAGATTTGCAATGGAGAAGACAAACGAAGGTATCGAAGGAATTTGCTAACTCCTCACAGTAAAAAAATAAAGTGGTTTAATCCTTCATGGCGGATGCTCGTCGATGAACATCATCCGGTCATGGGTCCCTACGTCTAGATCGGAGAACGCAGTTGCTTGCCAATGAATGTGGTCTTATCATGCGTTTGAGCATCCAGATCGGAGAATGCCATTGCTTGCTAATTCCAATGAGCATCCTCCCACTGTGCGTCGAATCAAAGAGAGAAGGTGACCAAAGAGGGAGGAGATAGAGGCATGTTCTCATTGAAGACTTGATGAGAAGGAAAGGCACTTTTATCTGGAGAGTTTTAATCCCAATATTAATTTTTCAATACCACCTCCCCATGGATTTATCTAATCCCACCTATATGGGTCTCATCAATCCTAAATAACAACTACTCCACTCTACAAATGTTGTATGCTAACCCAATTCCAATTTCAATTTAATTTTCAACTTTTTAATATCATGTATCAAATAGAGTTTTAGTTCACTACGTTATGAAGGATTAATCCTATCAATTAAACTCAATCTCAAATAATTTTTCTATAGTTTTAATCTCAAAATAACCTTTGTTAGAATTTTTTTCTTCAAAAAAAAAAGGTACATTAGTTAAATAAGCTAGACTTCCCCAGGGGAAAATCATGTACCAACAAATTATAGTCGATATACTAACCATTCAATGCATGTGGAATGGCATATGTGATGTGGTGTGCCACATGCGGATTCTGCGTCCCCTGCTATCTTTTGGGAAAGCAACAAACTCTTTATGTATAAACTAAGTAATAACTAGGCACTTTTGTTTTTGGCAAAACTCTAAGTGATGAATTATACTGCTGGGTTACACTACTAATGCTAAGTAATATTTATGTAACATACGAATGAATGACGTGGACATTCAGAGATTCTGGATAATGCTTAATGACAACGAAACTTTTATTTAAAAAGAAGGAGATGGGGGAGAGAAAGAAGAAATAAAAAAGAGATCAGTAAAAGAGGACCAATGTTATAGTTAGCAGGAATTTGGTGGGGGGGTGAGAAAGTATAACCAGGGTAACGTACTTTGTATAAATACATAATTAAAATATTGAGAGCTTGGTGAACCATTTTTATCTTGCCTTTGCTGTTTGGTTCTGGACACTAAAGGCATCAGCAATAATTAAATGATATATTAATTTTCATGCTTTCATCATGCTGCAAAGGAAGTGACTTTAACCCACTTATAACACTAGGAAGCTTTACTTGTGGGAGCATAATAAATTAAAAGAAAAAGTAATGTATGATTCAATTGTCCGTGGTCACTTTGAGTGGGAGAAAGACGCTTGCGTGTTGTTCACCCTTGGAATTAGAACATTCTGGAAGTTAGAGGTCCTTGACCATCCACGTGGCTCAAATTATTCCTTCATTTAGGATAGGATAGTCTTGTACTGCCAATCGGCCGTCTTTAAATCTCAAAAAATGTTTGCTTATATATTATATTATGGTAACTAGTAATTGTTTTTGAATTAAGGATTAATTTTATCTTTTAATTGATCACAAAAGCTCGTAAATGATTCTAAACTTAATTATGAATCATTTATATTATTTAATTGCTAAAAATTTTAAATTTATCATGCTGCTATTTGGCGTGCAATTTTTTGTATTAATTGGATCCACATTTAAATTTTTAATATTTATTTATTATAAAATATTGCCTTGTGGGTCCCACCAAAATTTTTATATTTTGTAAGAATTTTAAAATTTATTCTCTCTCTTCCACCTTCACTCTCCATTCCCCACCTCTCTCTCTCCCCCCATCATTCGACCAAGATCTTGAACGAGCCACCCTAAGACTTTTAGATCTCAAGCTCTCAAATCCCTCATGCATCTCACCTAAGTCAAGTTCAACAATCTCTCCATCACTAAAGATGTTGACAAGACTTTCAAACTTCTTGCCGGCCTCACTTTCAATCATTTCTCATGGCCGAACTAACTAAGGATGTGTAGGTGCAACTCTTTGTTTAGCTATGTATTTTTAATAGAAAACAAAGGTGGATGATGGAGAGGAAATCGTTCAAGCTCTTGTTCTTGCTCCTCATTATCCTAGCTTTTGGTAAAATCATGGAACTACTCCTCAACATATGTTGCCTCACTTTCGATTATTTCTCATGGCCAAGCTGACTAGGAGGTGTAGGTGCGACTCTCTATTTAGCTCTGTATTTTGAATAGAAAATAAAGGTAGTCGATGGAGAGGAAATCATTCGGGCTCTTGCTCTTGCTTTTGCTCCTCATTGTCCTAGCTGGATTTTGATGATCGATACGGTCGTTGCACTCGTCAAGCTGGATTTTGGTCTTCTTTGAGCCACTGCATAAGGAGGATATGGTGAGAACAAATGCTCATCTGAGTTTCAGAAATAAGTGCATGCACCAGAACCACATAAGAACATAGCATAATGGACAATCAAAACACATGAAAACAAACGGAAATGAGTGATTTAAAAATAAGAGGGGGAGGAGAGAGAGGAGTAGGGGAGATAAGAAGAAGACTATGAAGAGGGGACAAAGTTGCATGGAAAGGGAGAAGAGAGAGAGAGGAAAAATATTTAAAAAATAATGTGGGACCCACTGTAAAGTCTCCCCTAGTAATCCACAATTAACTCCATAATTAAGGTAATTATGGAACTAACCCAAGTAAATTACCAAGTTTACATAAATGGGATCTCAAGTTTTAAAAACTCAAAATACTATAAAACCATTTAAAATCATTTAAAAAATAAAATCAGAGAAAAACATGTATACAAAAGCATGGACATCTTACAAGGTAAGATAACATCAAAGTGGAGTCAACATAACAAAAAAATGAATTATGGAACAATTATGCTGCAAAATAAAATTTTATGCTGCAACGTTAATTGCAGAATCCATGACAGCAAAAAAGCTGT